TTCAAGGTTGAGGACAAAATTCTGTTATTTCGTCCTTTTCTAAATGGTTTACCTTGAGACATAAAAATGTCGATTACAGGAATTAAGTTAATATTAATCATTGTTTTTTTTCTTCTTTATTATACTTTTTTATTTCTTTTCCTTTCTTTTTCTCTTTCTTTTTTCTTGTTCTATTTCTTTCATTTTCTTTTTTCTTTGCTTTTGCTTGCTGTTGTTGCTGCTGCTGTTGCTGCTAAAACCTGCTTCTTCTCCTTAGTCTACAAAAATCCTGAGTATTCCTCTTTACCTATAGTATCACCCCTGACAATATTACATGAGTAATGGCATGGGTTTTAAACCATTCAAACCAAGGTACATACAAGTCTTAAAGGTCCTTGATTCAAACAATATTATGAATGCAGATTATCTTACTGCAGTGTAAGAGTCAATGATGAATGAAAAAAAACATTCTACCACTTTGATACAATGGTAGAAAAATCCACAATGCACAAACTAGATTTATTAAAATAATTGAAACAATAGTTTGGAAATCCTCTTGGATTCTATTTTGTGCATTTTGGGTTTTTCTACCACTAAGAGTGTGGAGACTAGGGTCATACCTAAATACAGGTATTACAAAGAATTCATATCTATTAATCAACAGCTAGTCTAAGATGGATGGGTTTCACATCACCTGAAACCCAACAAAGAATAGAAATATTGAGCTTGTGGAACCATCTTTAAATCTATCAGGCTCCCTCATAAAATATTCAAGACAATATATTAACAACTAGCAGAGTAGATTTAATTTGATTTTTCAATCAAATTAGAATGCCTCTTTTGAGAATTGTAAGACAGACCATCTAGATTCTTTAGAAAAAAAGAAAGTGAATTACAAATGAAAGCCCATTTAACATTACAACTATGCATATCATTTCAAAATAGTTTCCACATATTTGCATATAATTCATGGTTATTTGTCATATGTTGCAACTTTACCTCTGAAGGTAGGAAGGTGATACTAGCCTTGCTGTCAAAGGCTAGTATGTGACTTCTTTAATAACAGCCTTCCACATTTTACAGTTGCTCAAGTAAACTTATTTCAAAGCTACCACTTTGAAATTCAAACCAGAATTTCATTACTGCATTAAAATTCCTTAATCATTTTTAAATGTGTCTTGTTTATAGTTGTTTTCCACATGCATATATTGTCTGGGTATATCCTTATAGACCAGTTGCAAATATATAAAAGCATAAAAGTGATTTCTGTCATATGTAAAGTGGCACTTCAACAATGAAAAATTAAATGCCTCTCTCCCCATTTCCGTTTGTCTCCATTGTCTCTCTCTTTTTGTGCCTGTGTTTCTGTTTCTGTCTGTCTATCTGCATGTGCCTGTCTGCCACTGTCTCCCTATGTTTTTCTGCGTCTGTGTTGTCTGTCTCTCCGTGCCTGCATCTAATCCTGTATATACATATCTGTGTATGCCTCTGTATATCTGTCATTGCATGTGCTTATATCCTTCCGTATCTGCCTCTGTCTCTCTACATTACTGTCTGCTTGTGCACATTCATAATCCCACATCTGTTATATCTCTACCTCTCAGCATCTGTCAATATCTCCTGTCTTTGTTATTGTGTCTGACTGATTCTCTCTCTGCATGTCTACATCCCAGTCTCTGTCACTGTGTCACCTCTGCAACTGCTCTTGTCTCTGCAAGTACCTCTGTCTGTCACTGTACATTTGTGTGTGTCAGTCTGACTTCCTACCCTTGTTTCTTTTCTTCATTCCCTTCAAGGATTGGATATCTGCTTATCTGTCATTGCAAACCAGAACAGCTTCTTTGTAAAAGATATAACAGGGAATATAACACCTTGTGGCCATTTATTTGGAAATTTCTTAGCTATTCTTAATACTCCACCCAAATAAATTACAACTAATCTTATGAATATATATGAACACTGTTTATCTAACCTGTACCCAAATTTCAACAAAATATCAATGTACTCCAGAAATTATCTACCTTCCAATCACTAATTACTTTCATCATTAAAACAATTAACAAACTAGCACACAAACTCCAAGTAGGAAGATAAGCTACGAGTATTTCCGATAATTCTGACTAATAAACAACGATCTCCGAGCAGTATATTACCGGCATATCTATAATCACATTTTATGATCATTATTTGTGTAATCATATGACAGGTCTAAAAATCATTCACGCAAGATGACATAAATATACACTTACACATCATTCACTCAGGTTCCCTAATATCTTGGCTAACTATTATGAGTCAGGTAGCAAGTGCTTCAATGTAGTCAAAACACTTTGTCAAAGAATATGTATTGAGGACTCTTTTTACAACCTAAAGCCCAAAATTTACACTTGAAATTGGCAAGTAATCTCTCTCACAGCAAGGAATAACCTAAATAATATATACTACAAAATTCATGATTCACTCATATTTACCAAAGAATACAATTCAATTCATGGTTTAAAAAGCAAAACAAAAACAACAATATGTATAAATCCAATTTATTACTAGATTTTGTTTACTGAGCTTTAGAAAATGTACACAAAAATGGAAAGACCAATATGCCCAATAAGTTCTGCAAAGGATGGTATATTCAGAGGCATCATAAAATTTAAAACGTGAAACATCAATCAAATTCAATAACAAGAAAACTCTACATTCAGAGATATTTAGAAATACGCTACTGCCTGTGAAAATACATTCTTGGGGTAATCTCAACTTCATTTTTAAATTAACATTCATTGTTGCAACTGTAACACTATTTTTATCATATGCTCTATACCGTGCATTTAAATGGACCACAAATAACCAAATGAAAGAGCAAGGAGGAACTGGAGTGTGTGAAGGATGGACAAAGGATCATACATGAAGAAGGTATAATTAAAAGTCCAATAATATCACAAATTTGTTTCTCCAGATCAATAACAGTTATAAAGCCAAGACAATGGAAAATGGTGGGTACACTTCTATAATAACTTGGAATTATAACATTAAGCAAAGCATAGAAAGATATAAATTTAAAAAAATAAATGAATAAATATCAAGTACGATTTAATTGTTACATAATGTAATATACATTGTAATGGTAGAGATGTCAAGCAAAGAATGCCAGCATTACAATCATAAAAAACTGAAATATTCATTAACCAACAATGCTAAGCTAAACATTAAAATAATGCCGCCATCTCATCACCCTTGCCAACAGTGGTAAATTAACCAAAAAAATAAAACAAAACAGAATTTTGATTAAATAGACAGTTCCACTATAATTCCTGAGTACCATATACTGTTCTCATATCTGAAGAATCACCGTACATAATTCTTAGTATTGTTTGTACTGCAACAGTAAAATGTAAGTCATATTTTGCAAATTAATACAATCCACTTCTCTTCACTAGCAGAACTAACATCACATAGTTTCTTTCACAAGAAAAAATAATTCTTGTACCCATCTGCAGACATCATCAATGAAACACACAACAAAAACAACACTACTTCAAGTCTGGAAGGAAAAAAACAACTTATTTCTATAGGCATAACATAAAAGGCCTTACGAGATTAATACATGGTTATTGGACTTTTAACAACATTATTGTCAAGACTGTTTCACCAAAAGACTGTTCTTAAACATATCACTGAACTTCTTATTCTCTTTCCTTAGTTCTTGGTCTACTTGGAGCATTAATTTTCTTACTGCTGTGTCTGGAAGAAGGAAGAGACAAAGAATTGGTATCAGAGAATTTTTGAATAACTTTCCACCTGAGTAGAAACATTGAATATCAAACTTCTGTGAAATCATGTGAACAGTATTATCAAATCAATTGAACAATTATATCATTGATCATTTAATAAATCAATCAATTGATTTAATTCCTGTACTGATTACATCTCTGTTAAATCATGAATGCATAAAAACTACAAAGAAATCTGAGATGAAACTTTATATATTGTAATTCTTATATTAAAACCATATTCTAATTTATATTTTTACAATTTGAAACACCACCAAACACTGGACTTAGTTCTTAAAAACAAATGAATATATAAATAAATAAATAAATAAATCTCTGATCTGAGGAATAAAACATGATGAAGAAAAGTATATACAGATATCTTAAAAACACTTTTCAAAACTTCAAAATAATCCACCAAAACTACTGAAACCATAACAAACCTTTGCCTTCAGATATTGCATTAGCTTCTTTCAGAGCTTCTTTCGCCGCATCATAGTCACGAAGGTGGAACTGAGCGAGCCCAAGGCGGTACCAGCCCTTCACATTCTTGGGCTGGAACTCCGTCACTTGCTTGCAACACTCAACCACTCTCTCATACCGAACAGGTTCTTGCTTTAATAGGCATGCTGTAAAAGATGATGCGGAAAACATCTTTAGTATTTTACAATCACTCATACGTAGTAATGAGAAGTCTTCCTGATGGAGGATCTGATGACACAACCTCTCCACTTGTCACGTATCCAGCAGAGGAGAATGAAATCCAAAGCCGAGTTTTTCCTTCGCCATAAACTTTGTTTCAACATGAATGATGGAAAACAACTTGATTATACTACACAACACCTATACTTCTCTATACTTTAAGAACTGTTACAAGAGTTCTTGAAGTGATAAGAATATTTAGCCATAAGCTGGCAAATGAGGAAAGCAAAATGCTGAGAGAGAGAAAGAGAATTAAAAGGCATGAAACCAAGAATGCAAAAATTTCATGAACTATTGCAATACCTGCTAAATTGTTGTGCAGATCAGCCGTTATGGTCATCACGGCATCTTTCGTCTCTTGGGGTAGTTTTGGAGCAGCGCGGCTTTGACCGAAATGTTTATTTGGATTCATGTCCTGATCCACTGCCTTCATATACATGAGTCCACTGAAAAACAGTGATAATAACAATAATAACTGATATTCATAGTACCAATAATAATCATAACAAAAACAAAAAAATATTAATAAGAACAAGAACAATAGACTAATGAAATATATAAATATATCAAGAATATGTACTTTTTTCACACTATCCAAAGTTCCTGTCCACTCACAAACTCAAACCATACCAATAGAGATACACTCAATAACAACACCCCCCCCACACACACACAATAATATCATGGCCAGTAAAAAAAAAAAAATATATATATAATATATATATATATATATATATATATATATATATATATATATATATTATATATATATATATGCATGCATGATTATACACGCACACACACCTATGATAATTCCTTATGGCCTTCTTCAACTGCTGTTGCTTGAAGTGGTCATTTCCCTTTTGCTTGAAGTCCACTGCTTTTGCCAATTTATGCTGGATTCTCTCTTCTGGGGTCGCAGATGACGGCAGTTCACAAAGTTTTTCTTCGCTCTGCGGCAAAGACCCATTTTCTTTGTCAACAGCTGACTGCCCTTCACTTACCGCAGACATTGGACTTTCTGTAAAATGGTATTTATATCAGTATAATATCATAAATAGATAAGTTAGGTGAACTTAATGAAAACATGAATAGTATTCAAAAATCCTCCTCAAATAATTTGCGCATCACCATTTGAGGTGAAATGAACTGAAAATCATTTGCACAATGCATCATTGCTTAATCAGAAAAAAATGGCAGATGGCAGATGAAAAGCTGTGCAAAGAGAATACATTGACAAGAAAGAGATAAAATGTGAAAATTGTGCATTTGTAAAAACACAGACTGAGACAAATTACACTTTGTCACATCATGAATTTAGGTATCTGACAAAAGAACAAAAGATTAATACAAACTAATAAAAACGTTAATCTGCTTTACTAAAGGTTATTCATACATCATTCAGTACCTTTTAGGTCTATGGCAAGCTTTCTCTACATCCCTTCTGTCTTCTGCATTCCTTTTCATTTCTCTAATTACCTTTTTTATCACATCTAGCATTCCAAGTATTTTCTGTCCCTTATCTATCATCCTTCTTTTATTTCCTCTTATAATACAACTTGATAACATCAGCATATCAGTATTCGCTCACACCAAATTTAACCACTAGCCGCTGGGCATGGCATGAGCATACATGCCATGCCCACTGTGTGTTTAATTTAGTAATTGTTTTTACACATAGATGGCTCCACAAGTACTAAGTCAATAATGAGCCAATTACGAAAACTACCTGTCTTACCTGTTTACCCTTTTCCTTAATTTTTGATAATATTTTCTAGTATTTAATGCTGCTGTTGGTAATGACAATAACAATATAGTAATCATAATCTGTACAACAAAAATAACAAGAGTCGTTATTGATAGTATTAGTACAAAGAGTATTTTCCCACATTTAACAAAACAATGTTAAAGTGAACGCAACATTTTCCCGTCGGCACTGGGTTAACTGAGTGCAAAGCCAGGACCTCGCAATTACAAAGACAGAGGGCTACATAGCTAGGCCACTTCTTCCTTCTGCAAAAGTTTCTTTAAAATGTCTCCAATGCTTACTTTATATCATCAACACTAATCAAATCTCCTCTTTCTTTCACCTTCCTTTGACACTCTCCAAGTCACTCCAATTTCTCTCGCCACCATCTCTCCTTCTTTTGAATTCACTAACCTCTTTCATCTCTCTTTCACAATCAATGCCACCATATTGAAAATCACAGCACTCTTCTTCTGGATCAATACATGTAGTCTTTACACTCTTCCTAACTTTCATCTAACTAAAAGGCAATCACGATGTTTATTGCCTTCTGTCACAAACACAGACTTTTCAATGTACTACTCTTAATTGGCTGTTTCAAGTATGAACTGGCAATACCTTTGCCTTTCCTCTCGGGTAAAATGACTAGCTTTTTTAACCTTTCTATTATTTCTACTTATTCTGTAAATCCTAAAAAACTTTTTCTTTTAAACTTACACCAACTACTGCTCTCCAATTGAACTGCCCATCACAAACACATTATTTCCATTTATATTTACATAAAATTCTACTTATCTATATAGATATATACAAATAAATATATATATGTTCATTTTCTCTACATCCATATATCAATATATCATACTTATATTTCTGTTAATCTATACACATATATGCAGATAGATAATTACCAAATACTTCCCATATTTTATGTCTTTTGTTAATGCTATTCTATCTACATCTCTCCTTTTATGCAATGGATCTGTAGACTAGTATATATATTTAATGTCACAAAGAAAAAAAACTCTAAGGCATAGATATTTCAGGAAAATTTAGAATTTATGACTATTTCTACATTACTGAGATGAATTTTCTTAGCCTATACCTTTTGGCATAGCACTACATAGCCACCTGTTACATGTACCCTTGTTCAGTTCTAAAGAATAAGTATTACCATCTTCAAAAAAATATATATATCATCTTCAGAAATATTATCTACAGATGCATAAAAACAACACAAGAATCTAATTTAATGACCAATGCACTTATTAGCACATTTATATATTATCATAACCCACATGGCAAAATAAAAAAAAGGATTTAAGAGCTTTACACATATATAACAATAACAAGGATTTATGAAAATCTCATGCATGTATTGTATATAGCCTATATAGCCTGTAAGAATTATATTCATGCACAGTATCAATAAATAATAGGTCAGCCATTACAGTTCTTCATAGAAAACCTATATGGGTGTTGAAAAATATCTAAATAAGGCAAAAAGAAAATTTTAATGGCTAACCTTTTGTGAAAATCTATCAATGAATGTCCACACTGCAAAAATATCAGTATAAAAGAGAAAATTCTTCCCTCAAAAATCCGACAGCACATGAAGCCTGGCACAGGATACGGTATGGCAAGGGGAAATCCCATGAGTATGATAACAATGACACACTGAAATGCACTGACATGAAATTTTGCACGGTAATTTTCCATGCAAGCTATGCTACCGTCTCCATCACACTTTGACAAAGGCCAATAAACCACCACCATGTACATTCACGCAAGATACAAGCTTGCACTGGTTCCTTGTTTGATGATAAACTGCCAAGGATATTGTAGAAAAGGTATGAATGAGACTGGATATCTTCACAATTCAAGAGATGTATTTGACCGGTTTCGATTACGTCTTCATCAGAAATATGTATTTGACCGTTTCATTATGTTCTTCATCATATTATTTGACCGGTTTCGATTATTCTTCATCGAAATAGTATTTGACCGGTTCGATTACGTCTTCATCAGAAATATGTATTTCTGATGAAGACGTAATCGAAACCGGTCAAATACATCTCTTGTATTGTGAAGATATCCAGTCTCATTCATACCTTTTCTACATTTGTCAACATGGATACGTTTCATGCCTAGGATATCTCGGAGGTCCATTTCACCATAAAAGGAATGATTTGTTGACTTTCTCCTGCCAGAATCCATATACTTTATCAATTGATTACGCACTTATCTTTTCTTAACATGGCCTATTTTCTATACTAATTGTATTCTTTATGAACAGTACTTTCTTTTTTCTGGTAAATGTTCAACATAGAACTCTAGAATAAAAGAGCAAATCAAGCATTTTCTGCTCATTACCTCAAACTCCCCACAATTATATTAAGGACAATTATGGTGCGTTCAGAACTCCTCGTCCTACTCATCCAGAAAAGTTGGATGTTTTGACCTTTTGGAACCTCTACTTTCTCATCCTGGACTAGTTGTACATCTCGTCCATCTTTCTTGTCCAGGACAAGGTGTCTATCTCATCCATCTCCCCGCCTGTGAAGCTTGAGAGTACGACGAGATGACATCACAATAGCATTGTCAAACAATGACACTTGCAGGTAACCACAAGATATTGATGGGTATTTTATGGCCCTTATTGATGTTATCACAGGATATTTTTGTTTGTCAGTTGCAAGGTTTAATGTTAAGGAGTTACAAAACCTATGTAGCGTGTAAATAAAGACACCGGTATGTTTACTTTCGTGCTGGTTGCATTCTGAGCAGCAAAGGCCTTTGAGGTTCCGAACGCAGCCTTGTTGTCCTTCTAGTCATGACAAGTTGTCTGGACACGCAAGACAAGGAGTTCCGAATGCAGCAATACCTCTCATTTTTGTGAATCATTGAAATTGCAAGTTTGGTCTGCGCAATGCCAATGAATGATGATATAAAATAATTACAATAAAAATGCAACTTTTAAGCCAATGCAGGTAGCTAGAACATATTTACCATCAACAGCCTTAAAATACATCATGAAAGTATATCAATATTTATATTAACTAGAAACATTTGTCCGTTAACAAAAAATACACAAACATTAAAAACTGGGCTTAAAATATAAAAAAATATCTCAGGAACAAAGACAGTATTCACACACACACACAGACTACCCTTCTAAATGTCACAAATAAATACCTATAACTTATTTCACAATATTTCCAATGTTATAAACCCTCGAGTTTGATTCAAAAATCATGTCAACAAATCCTAGTTTCAGAAGTAAAATAACAAATTGCATCAATATATCTCATGACAGCCTTATTCTACGTCACAGCCACTTACAGACCTTTCTTGTGCATCAGTTCAACATGTGAGAATGTGTGAAAATGACTTACAGAATGGAGGAAAGTCTCTTTGAATATAAAGGAAAATGATGTTTGGGGAGAAACGCGAGGTTTGGAAACAGCTGTTTTTCGTCCTCATAGAAAACGGAAAAGGTTGGGGGGGAGACGGAAGTAAATTCATTTTTTTTTCTTTTCTTTTCTTTTCTTTCTCTTCTCTATCAGAAGATAATGCGTAATGTGCGTTTGTTTTTTATTTTTTATGTATATTATTTACTTTGAACAGTTTCAAAAAAGGTGAATATATATATATATATATATATATATATATATATATATATATATATATATATTTATATATATATATATATATATATTATATATATATATAGAGAGAGAGAGAGAGAGAGAGAGAGAGAAGAGAGAGAGAGAGAGAGAGAGAGAGAGAGAGAAGAGAGAGAGAG